AATACATATACTTTAGATTAATAGAGAATTAAATATTCTTAAACATTCGGATACTTGCAGCAGCTATTATGTTAGGATTATTGATGATTTATTAAGTAAGCTTGCAGTTTATACAATTAATAAACCATGTTTATATAATAATAATTGCATTTTATTCTACAAATATTTTAAGTAAACATTAAAAGCAATAAAAACGAAACAGATAAGGGAAATCGGTCAGGTGCGTCAGGGGCTTACAATTTTACTGCAGTTTATGTAATGAAATGTATATATAGGACAGAGTAGACGTAGTTTTAAAAGACGTACATGTGAACATAAAAAAAATTCTGATGTTAAACAATGACGAAGACGAATGATGTTTATAGACAGTTTATAACCCTTTGTTGTGAAAACGCTGGAAATACACCAATACTTAATTTAGTTTTAAATGATTAATTAGAATTAGATATTAATAATGCAAATTTACACTGTAGCATAAATATTAATTTTTTTAGCGACAACGCTCCTTCTTTTGTTTATTGGGTGATTAATTTGGGGAAAGTTAGATACGATTTATGAATCCCAAATGATAATGTAATAGTACAACCATTTCAGAGTAATTAAGATCATTAAAACGGAAAATTTATGTTACTCTGTTTTAGATGCTAGCGTTAATTTTTTAAATAAATTACCTGCACTGTTTACAAGGTGATTTACTTACTTACTGTTTAATAAACTGATTAGAGTTTCAGTTACTTACGGAATACCAAATCTCGTTAATTTTTTTTCGACATACCTATAATGTTAGTGTTACTATGATACTTTTTGCGAGTTTAAAAAGATATAATAAATCGTCTGTATAGTGCCTTATTACAGCTAAATCTAGACATAATTTTCTTATTATATATTAATATCTTAGGTACTGCTCACGACAGAATTCAATCAATTCAAGAAAAATCACTGAAATGAAATGTAAAGTCCTTTTGAAATTATTGCAGAAAAGGGCTTAATAGGGATATGAAAAAAAAATTTCAATAGCACTTGAAATGTAAAAGTTGCAATCAAAGAGTAATTATATCAAAATGTATGTGATACTAGAATTTTGAATGCTGAAATTAAGTAGAATTTAGACTTATGTATATACTTATAATTAAAGAAGAAGTTTGGTCAACTTTGACAACCCCTGGCGTAAATACTAGCCAAGGAATAGAAAGACGACCCATTGATCTCTATTTAAGGACTCCCTCTCAATTCATTTATGTAATGATCTCAGTTGACATCACGTAGGACAAATTTGTATTATTATTTTTGTTTCCGTTCTGCCAACCAATTAGGGCTTTTTCTCCGGACTTGATATACAAATATCGAGATTTTTCAAAATAATACTCAACATAGAAATATAAACAAGCAAAAAATTTTTATCTCTTTTTAATACATTGTAGTGCACAGATAACAATTTAATTGTGATTAATCTTAAATTCAATCTTTTATTATGACATCAATATCCAATTATCTATATTTCATAAGCATGTTAAATTAATTAAAGGAGCACTTCGAATTTTGCGTGAGCTACGTAAATATTAATATCTTTTTAGCAAATGTTTGTTACCTACTTAACTGTACGATATGGTACTCATAATATATTTTCATCAAATAAACACTCCTGGGTTTCTTATTATCGATATGTTGTAAAGCTTTGTTTTTTCATTAGATTCAATAGAAACTTTTGTAGATCAATTTGCAACTTCATTCTGAGTTGTTGTTTTCAATAGTGTGTTGATTATATGTTTCTTACAGAAACAAAAAGTATTAATTATTTAAATCAACATTCCAGTGATATTTTGATGTTTGTTCATTGTAAAAGTGCGAAGACATCATCATCATCATCATCATAAGGTCGTCAGTCCTAAGACTGGTTTGACACGCACCTCCACTCCTACCTATCCTGAACTAATCTTCGCATTTCCCTAAAACTAGAACAACCGACATCCTTAACTATTTGCGAACAGCAATTTAATATAGGTCTACCTCTACTCCTCTTTATTCCTGTTTCTGTCTCTAATATGTCTCCGACCAGACCTCCATGCCTGAGAAGGTATGCTACCAACCTTTCTCGCCTATTTTTTTTATTGATTTCCGTAGAGTCCTCTGTTCTACTATTCTTTCTAATACCTCTCTGCCGCGCCTACCGTCCATGTTTCGCACCCGTACAACGCCACGCTCCAATCGTACACCTTTAACAGTCTTTTTTGATTTCTAAATTTATCGTTCGCGAGCATGGAAGTGACTTCTTTTTATTAAGGGCGACTCGACCCTGCGCTATTCTCTGCTTCATATCCCTACTAATCCTTCCGTCCTGACTTATCTGATTTTCTAGATGCCTAAAATCAACCACTTCTTCTAATCATTCATCTCCTATCTTTATTTTCGCTCTTTCCCTACTTTTTCTTCCCTTGCATACCAGTGTTTTTGTTATACTTACTTTTATGTCCTTTTATTATTTACATATCACATAATATACTATTGTTTAAGTTTACATGGTTCTCTATTGAATAGTACTTACTGTTGGAATGCTATTATAACCCCCAGAAATCAAAATCATGGTATTATCATGCAAAAGAACCTAACGTAACCTAACCTGATCACCTTTTGTGTTATATAAATTACATTCCATTAGTTGTTTTTTCTTGATAACACTGTCATTTTAATTTTATTTTCGCAAAACAAAACCCAGCAAAAATAATTCTGCAATTAATTCAGTGTTACTTAACCGGAAATAAGTGACTTACTCGGAATTTGCAGGTTGAAAAATTATTCAGATAGGTGAATTTTTACAAATATCGCTGAAAAATAAAAAAATGTTTGTAACATGCAGTTTTGAAGGCTCAGGGGTAAATTTCCTTATTTGATTTTTCTGACAAAAACTGCACCAACTTGATTTATGAAACTCAAATCAAAAGGGCAAAAAGTTCCTAGGATATATGTCCAAAAGTGATTACTAAAAGAATTGTACACACTTAACAATTGATGCAGTTAAAAAAGAAAAGGTTATTTCATTCCTCTGAATTTCAAGTAGGTTTGCCATTTAAATGGGGAAAATTTCACAGGTCTTTCTCTTTTACTTGAAATCGTTCCAATAATAAATAATTATGGGGATCGTTGAATTGACATAGGAGGACCAGGATTATTTAAAATATATTGTGTATTCAACATCAATTTTTATTTAAAGGCAAATATAATTTCTTCAGTTACAATTTTTGAGCACTTTGAGGAACTTCTCCGACCTTTTGGTTTAATAAATCACTTTGGTTAAGTTTGTATAAGATCTCTAGTTACGTCTCGTGCGTCAGGTGGGGTATCACTCAAAAGAGGTTGCTTCTGGGGGTAAATCACAATTTTGAAAAGATAAAATATTCTAAAAAATGTACATAAAGACGTCAAACATCTTACAGATTTTAGGAAAAATAATATACAAAATTATTTTTAATGCTATGAACTAAAGAAGTTATATAATGTTTTTGATATTTTATAAAAAAAAATAAATAATGATAATGCATTTAATGAGTTATCGACCTTCCCACTTTATCAATTTTTTTTTCTAAATTATCTTCGAATTTTGAACGCTAAAATGAAACTGTACTTTTTAATATTAATGTAGTGCATTAAGTGAGGTGCTTGCTTCCAAAATCGATATAATTAACGTATTTTGAACGGTACGGAATCCGCGAATTAATTTTTTTTATTTTAATATTTTTGGGGTTTTATTTGATAAAATCATACCACACACCACGCAAAATCGTTAACAAGTTAATAAATTTGCCATCTTAATAGATTTCCCCCTTTTAATTTTTGTTTTGAAAAGTAAAATTAAATTAAAAATTACTTGCTATTCTGTCATTTATTTGTGTCCTTTCATATATCGGATATTTCTCACAAAATTGAAGCACTAATTCACCGTTTTGATTTGTTCACTAACCAAACGAAGAAACTGATCACTGTCACAAGATTTGTCCAAGGAGGGGCTATGTATTATTATTATTATTATTATTATCAATCGTAATTTAAATTGTTGTTGTACACTCACTATTAATACAAATGTTAACAATCTTATCATTGTTCAAACCAATCGGCGACATTTTTTAAATATATTTATGTATTTGTTTGTTAAATGCCGGCAGACAACTAAAAAAGCGGCCGATTTTTTTCTATTACCGGCTTCCTTATCAATTGAGACTGCGACGGGTGATTTCTTATCACTTCGTTTAGAGGATGAGCACTGCTAATCTTGGCTCGGCGTCGCGTCTTGCTTTTCGAGCGCGTTATGTGGCATCATATCTTTTCCCTTCCACCCACCCACATTTCATCGTCGACAACAAAGAGGACAATTTATTGTTAATAAGCCGAACGTTAATTACTTCTTGTATGGAACATCGCAGAGGCGTACCGAATGTACACATTTGGGGACTTGCGGGTACCATTTTATGGCAGTTACGTTTTTATTAGTCTGACTATTATAAGAGTTAATAAAACGAAAAAGGGCTCTGTATGGGTATGAAACGTGGATGGTGGGCCCTGCAGAAAAGAGAAGGTTACACGGAGAAAACTAAATTTTTATGACAACGCAAAAATTACAATTTTTGGTAAAGGTCTAGATCAGTGATTCCCAACCGGTGGTTCGCGAACCCCTGTGGGTTCGCAGTGTTTGCAGAGGAGGTTCGCGAAAATAATATTGTAATGGCGGATTTTTTAAAACGCCAATAAAATGCCTGTTTGTTAAGAAAACTATAATAAATTTCAATATTTTCATTTCTTTTTTACTTATTTGTTTTTCAAAATTACTTCATCAATATCAAAATATATCAACAATTTTATACATTAAAATTTATTGCTAAGTACCTTCCT